AATAAAAATGCACGATGTCTTGTATAGAAGAATATGCTGATATACAAATAACTTATTTCTTAATAGCCTTTGTATTACCTATGAACTACCTACGAACCGTGTACAGTTCAAGAGTAGGTTATAGATCATACAGATAAACAGTTCAAAAGTTCGGTAACAGAAGAACACTTCCAGCTCTGACAACGATGAGAAAAGGGGTGAAGTTGTTTGCATTTTTTGCTTTCTTAACTTTGAAGATTCATTTCTCAACCTGAATATAAACACTTTATGTAATAGCTGTAGAATAGAATTCGCTATTGAAGAACGTAATAAATCACAGTAATACAACTGTCTTTGAAGAGTTCGTAATTTGGTATTTGTTAATGGAAAGTAAGTAAAAGAAATCATTTTAATTATTCTATTTTCTTAGAAAAATAACGCAAATATTTTTTAAATGTGCGTCATATTTTCTCAAACTTACACTTCTTTATTTGTAATATTTGACATTTTTTGATTTCATCGTTAATAGAAACTATTTTATTTAAATTTAACATTATTACTTAGTTAGAATTTTTAGCACATTCAAACTGAGTAGCATTTAACAGCTATTGTTGTGGAAAAGTGTGGTAAATGTGAATAGAATGTTATAATGAGCATCAGATTCATACAATAGCATACATGTTAATAATAAAAGTCTAAACAAGAATGTTGAGAATAATAAAGTGAAAAAAGTTTAAAGAACGGTAGTAGCCAGCTTATTTGAAGATCTAACATCGTATATCCCAGACACACTGTTCCTTCATTTCTATCAAGAAACTCTTCAGAAGACTGTTTGAAGAGTCTTGAAATAGCTATGCAAATATCTGATACATTTACAGTCACATTTTACTCGTACTAAACTGACATTACTATCAACTCCAGCAATTGATGAGAACATATATTTTAAATATATTCTGGCAAGGAAGCTAAAAATGCTTCAGAAATTTAAAGGTTTGTCGCAGTATTTATGAGATTGTGGATTATACGGTAGTTTGATAGCAGTTATTTGATTTAAAAATTTTCTCAAAAATAATTTTTAATTCAGAAGAACTGGTTTATGGAACATAGAAGTAAATAAAAAAACGTTCCAGGCAGTGCAGAAAAGAAAATTAAGCTTAAATGTAACAATTATCAGAATTTTTAAATTATCAAACAATTAATTTGTAAAAATTACCTTCTGTCTACATTTGAATAATAGCAATTCTTTTTTTGAATTTGTATCTAGTAATGCATTTTATTTATTTATTTTTAGTTACTTTCCTCACTTAATAAGTTAATCAACAGATGTTTTATAGTTGTTAGCAATCAGCAAATAAAGACTGATTGATAATGTTTTGAAAAAACTAGGTAATCAAATGTTTTATTTAGAATCACATATTAATAAATTATATTCAAATTGCAGTATTATAATTAAACTGTATGTTTTTGATTCTCAAAATAAAATAGCAGAAGATTTGCATCAAAATATTAAATTATAATATCAGAGTGAGAAGTAGAACTATTATCAAAATTTGACAGATATTGCGCTGCGTGTAAGTTGAATGTAGTCTAATTTATCAAAAAGAAAAAACTTAAAAGCAAAAATTGGTATATGGGAATTAATTTATAGTAAAGAGAACACTTTGGTAATTGTTGCATTTTGAGATATTGTATTATTCCTAAGCAATTGGAAACTGAGATTTTTATTGTGGAGCAAACTTGTAGAAAGAGTGAAGTTGGCAAAAGTTTTGAAAAATATCATGGTTAAAAATAAGCTTAGAGCAAACGAAATGTTACAACAAATAAAAGTAATTTGAAACTTCATCAAATTAAATAAGTTTTGGCTTTTTCAAAATCACAAAGCGCCTGTGCATAGTACATCTGTGCTTTTGAGAGCTAGCATTTATGATTTTCGAATATATGGTTAGTTGCTTCAACAACCCTTTCACATGTTCAAAAGCAGTAAAATAAATTACTGCAACCGTATTTTACATATAATTTATAGATTGAATTACTTTAATTAAAGCATCTGCTTGTGATAAAATATTCATAGCAGTAAGTTTAATTCAATGCTCTCCAAAATCTTTTTTAAAGTATGCAAACTGTAACACTCACTGATTACTACTTAATTACTCTTTCAACTTAACACGATAATTGCCATGTATTATCAACTACATCTGAATTCTTACTTCTTGTCTGCATAAATGGTAAAGTTAAATAATGATATCGAATACTTTTGCAACTGATATCTTCTCAAAATGCAAATTATATTGAAATTTAATTTATGATTATTTAACCGGCTATTAACTTTGAATAAATTGCTTCATCTGAAAATACAATTTTCGTTTTCTAATTTTTACAAATTTTCACTTTGAAAGTTATGATTGTACTTGTAAATGGCTCATTTTTATTTGAAGATTTTGCTCGCTTTATTCCTCATGCTTTCGTTGTTTACAAAAATGTCACCAAAATTTACGAGTGAAATTTAGTAATGATTTGAAAAATCCCGAAAATTGAGGCTTATTTTTTGACTCACTAATTAATATTTAAAAAATTAAGAACAAGATGAAGCATTTTATTCAAAGTTAATAGCTAGTTAAATATTCATGAATGAAATTTCAATATAAATTTGTATTCTGAAAACTTAAAAGTATTTTTGTTTCGTAATAATAGCAGTGATAATTTATAATAATAATGGTAATAATAATAATAAAATTTGATTGAAGAGAGGCTATAGTAAGGTTAATTAAATGGTTCAAAGTTGAAAAAAGAGATTAATGGATGAAACAAACCGTAAATGAAGTCTAACTGGTGCGGAGCCTGAGGTTATGAGCAGAAAGGTTTGGAGATGTTTTTGAGTTATTCCCGAACAGCTGTCTAAGCAACTACCGAAACAGATTCAAAAAAGTTTTGCATATTAAAGCGTGTGTGTGAGGTAGAGAGATGTTAATGTAATAATTGCTCTGACTATGTTCGCCATTATACTTTATTACACAGCGTTGTTTTCAAATATTTAACGAAGCAAAACTAAGAAAAAAATTTTGAAGAACACAAAAGTTTTTGCAGTGAAAGTAAATGATTTGTCATTAGTAGTCAGTAGTTGCTTGATCCAACTTCTGCTTCTATTTCAACCACCAAAACAGCATTGATTATCACTATGCTAATCATAATTAAAACTACATTTTTTGTGCAATTATGGCTTTTTCTCA